GTGGCCGTCGGGCGCTGCGGTGCCAGCCCGGACTCCTCGCAGAAGAGGGCTAGAGGAAGGGCTGGGATTTTCCCGGCGGTTTTTCGCTTCCTACGACAGCAGCGAAACAGTTGCAGGCTGACCTCTAGTCGCATTTTGGCAATCTGGGTGTTCCTCGGCTCTGTCTCTCCATCTCCCCTTCCCGTCGGGGAAGGCTGACATCACCAGGACAGGATTTGATGACTTGGCTGGGTGGGGTGATGGCTCCAGCCCTGGGTACCTTTGTCCTGTAGCTAGGGCGAGCGGGCAAGGGTTGTGCCTGTTGCTCGGGAAGGTGAACCTCATGGCGGTTTGGGGTCCGGTTGCATGCTTCTGTCATCGCGGTGTGTGGGAAGTTTATTTTCTTTTTAATTCGAAATCTGATTTTTAGAAACATCTGGCGAGCTCCGGCTAGTGGGGCAGTGAGCCGGTGCTGTGGGTTGGAGGTTTTTGCCGAGGTGTGGCTCTGTTTCCTGTTCTGCGGGGCATTGAGTCTGTTATGTAAATTCCTTAGATAATCTTTAAGTAAAACCTCGCATTTTCTGGAAAAATCAAAGGAGAGCGTGGAAAGTCGAACTGGATTTTGAACACAAGTTTTTTTGCTGTTATTAAAGATTTATTAAATTTGAACTCTGTCTTCATCTGTTAGCATTTCTACCTTTTTCTTCCTCTCAACCCCCTGTGCATATGGGGAATTGTTTAATCATTACATACGGGCATGAAACCAAAACCCCAAAACACCCAACCCCAATCAATGCCTGTTTACAGGTGAAATTTGTGTATGTCATTTAAGGTATATACCAGGCTTTCAGCCCTATCCTATGACCCTGTGCAGGTGCTTAACAGATTATGTAGCCTGTTAATTCTCCATTGTATTTGTTGCTTTTTGCTGCAGTTAAATGGTTTTTGTTCTTGAAGAATAGTATTTCAGGACAAAAGGTTTACCAGATGCCTGCTTTCTCTGACCTACAAAACTCTCTGTTCTATTAGTAAAAGCTGTGCAGTAAAATGAGTTTAAAAGGAGTTAGTACCTTGTAGTCTCCAGTATTTGTGACTAGGTGTGTAAAATCCAGGGTTTTTTCTTAATTACTAAGAAAATTTATATTTTTCCATAAAGACCTGGTTAACTCCTTTGAGTCCAAACAGCAGAGTGTTTTGTGATGCTCTATCCATACAGAAGGGAGAGGCTTCTGGAAGGATGTGGCTAGCACAGTTAAGCTCTGGGAAACCCATTTAATTGCCCACTGAGCTGTATGCCTTTGAATGTAGCAGTGGCCTCTTGATGTACAGAAGATCTTAAGCAGGCATTTTAAATCTTGCCACTTAAGGTGATGTGTAAAAACAACCTGCATATCAGTGTGAGGCACCTTAAACTGCTTGCCTGAATGGAAAAATTATATGATGCTTGAAAACGGGCATTTTCTTTGTCAGAGATGGCAAAAATCTCCATAATACAGAGTAGTAATTCCTCCTAATATCACACCACAGTCCTTTCCTTTTTGTTAAGCTTGCAGTAGGCTAATACTTGATGCAATGTGGTGGGGGAGGGCAGACTTCAGTAGGGTTAGATCACTAGGTGGCACACTTGTCATTAGTCCACTAATGTGCAGATACCCCCCCCCGCAGTATTAGGGTCACTATACTGCTAGAAATGACATCCGATGTGATGTGAAACCCCAAACACATGTCATTAAGGATTTCATGCCTCTCTGACCAATTGCAAGGAGCCTGCCCCCGTGTCCTTTGCTTGACCAAATCACATTCTCCAAGTTGAAGAATGGCATGTCTGGTTCTTCATGTGCAGTTTCAAAGCAAGATAGCTTATATGCTCTTGGAAACAGCTGCAACGTGTAGGTGAATGGAATCTCCATGAAGAGGTAGAATGCCAGGGTTTGAAAATGGCTTTGTAAAAGTAATGATACATTGCTACTGAAGTCTAAAAGAAATGTGTTGTGGCTTGATGTAGCTAGAGGTAAACAGTATTCTAAAATGTTCTATTCTTCGTGTAGGCTGATCAGCTGACTGAAGAACAGATTGCTGGTAAGTATCTCGATGAGAAATGATTTTTTTTTGCTAACTCCTTGTGACTAAAAGAAAATATATCATCTCAAACATAATGGGGGAAAAAACCTTTTTGACAATTTCAAATATGTACTAACACTTTTAAAAAAATTCTGGAAGATTACTGGTTCATTGCCTCTTAATTTAGACTGCTTGTTCCTTGGACTACAGATAATGATTTTTTTTTAGACTTTCAGACTTGAGCCAAGTCCTTCTAGATTTCTTGCAAACAGAAATAATTTCTAGACTCAAGTGAACTTCTTGGAGTCAAAGCAGACCTAGGTACTCTTTTCTTTTTAATAAAGTGAAGATAAACTTTATGGCAACAAATAAACCTAAAATGGATTTATTACACATTAATATAAGCCAATGTCTTTTAAATAACTTCTGTCAACGTGTCTGTAATTCAAACTGGTTAGGAGAAGGAGCATTATTTGACTTTCTGGAGACCAGTCACCTGCTTGTGGCTGACATCCATTCCTATTGTCTGCTGCCTTAAAAATAGGTGGTAAATGACAACACTTAACTTTTCCCTTAAGTCTGTTAATGGTGAGGGGAATCCAGTGGGTCCCTACTCTTGTCCCAGTCAGCTGCTGTTTATGGTGCCAACTGTGCCTCAAGCAGGATGATGTTGAAATGTGTTATAGAGTTGTAATACAGATAATAGCCACTTGAAATAAGTTTGAATATATTATGTGACTTATGTGGTGGTACTGTAAGTTTTATATTAATATTAGAGAATGTTAATTCTCTCAATACATGGACAGTTATGTGAAATGTTTTTTAAAATTGTACCAGATGTTGTCAGTGGAGTGCATTTTTTAGTATACAGATTTATCATGCTGGTGATGTTACTAAACGCTGGGACTGTTTCTGCCTCTAGAATTCAAGGAAGCCTTTTCCCTATTTGACAAAGATGGTGATGGTACTATCACAACAAAAGAACTGGGAACTGTCATGAGGTCATTGGGTCAAAATCCAACAGAAGCAGAATTGCAGGATATGATCAACGAGGTAGATGCTGATGGTAAGTGTTGGAAGGGTAGTTATTAGTGCTGTGATCACCTTAAGTGTGTATGACTGCCACACCTGGGCTTGGTCTGTGTAGAGATGATTCTGTGGCATTGGTCTCTTTAAGCAGTTTTGAAATACTCTATAGAATCTAAACTCAGAGAGGTGTCAGTCTTGATTGCTCTCTGCACAGCAGTCAAAGATGCTAACAGTTTTAGTGAGAATCTAAGAAAGGGGATGGGCAGAGACAAAGTTACACTATTTGCTTTTAATATTTTATGGGTCACAGGCTTCCTATTGTTATCTGACTTGCCCTGACCTGCTGGTAACCTGTGTTTCCACCCAGCTTTTCTATACAAGTTTCGTCAGCCAGTGTTGGTCTTAATAGCTGTACTAATGTCTGTGGTTTTGTCTAAGGCCAAGAATGTAGTAGGAGTGGAATAATGCTAGTCTTTCAAGAATTGAAAACAATAGGAGAGGCTGTATAGTCTAATGTAGTGTAGATCACTAATAGACAGAGGGGAGGAATTGGAGGCAAAAGCAGGAAAGTTTTTCTATCATAATTATTTTAAATGGATTCCAGAAAGGGTAGCTATGCATCTTGTTTCTGAGATTCCAGACAGGCTAGCAGTTATGAAAAGGAAAAATGCTTTCCCCTGCTCAGTGGTGTCAAGGCTTTGATCTTTTATGTTAGTTGTGACAGTGATTTTTCTCTAATACCTCTCTAAAAGAAGAGTGAAAGTATATTGGCAGGACTATAGATTATCTGATGATCAACTACATTGATTACAACTACTTTCCTAAAACTTGACCTTAGTTGCTAACTCTTGGATGCAGATACTACAAAACTTTAGGCTTTGCAGTGCTACATAGAGTTTGTGTATAGTGGTTTCTCTAGGATGTAGTCCACAATGGTGCACTGGCAGATTAAAAATGAAAAGAGACTGAGGACTTCAGTGAATATGCCTGCCCATCTGTTTAAACTTGTTTTATGGCAGAATGCTTTGCTGTTATTCTACGTGCTCATTGAGGATTTTTCAAAGTTGAGTACAAGACTGGTATTCAGATTTAGCTGATAGATAGTAGGTAAAGCTGGCCACGGTGATAAATAGCTGTGTATTTCTTAATCTGGAATTGCTAAACTGCAAAGGTTTTCTTAAATGGCATTTAATTAGCTGCTTTGGTGTGGTTAACCAATGAGTTTCTACATTTCCCTCCAGCAATGAGTAGATCTTAGCTGCACAGTGAACTATTTAATGCAGGTTTTTTAGTCATATAGGGCTGAATCCTGACTATACAAATCTAGTTTCAGGTGTTTTTAAGAACTTGTTTCTTTACCATCCCACTTTTCTCATAGCCTTGAGCAGCCTGAAGTTTTAATCCTTACTTTGAATGAATAACTTCTAAAAATGTTAGGGGTGAGGCCTGGATGTTACCAGGGATTTTCAGTTCTGCAGTGAAGTACCTATAAGAACACCTACAGCTAAGCGTATCAGAAATACCAAATAATGGCAGCTTTTCTCATGTCATTGGAATTTGCAGATCCTTGTTGCACCTTAAAGTGGTGCATTACTTCTGTGATGTATAATGTAGGTTGGTAAGGAAGTTGATTTTTAACAAGGAACAAGTACTTGAGCAGCTTAGTGGAGTGTAGTTTTGTCAGATTTTAGGTATCCTGGATAGGATATATAAAGTGCCAGCTTTATAATATGTTCTTTTCTGGAGTCTGTCACAGCAATTGGGAGATTCTGAAACTATGCAACTAATTTTGCGGAGTGATTTGAAGTAAAGATAGGTCTTAGTATTGCTTCACCTTGGAGCATCAGACTGACATTTTACTTGCAACTTGGGTGGCAAACAGTGGCTTAACACAGAGAGAAGGTGACAGTTGGTTTTGTTGTGCTGAAACACTGCAGTGACAGTGGCTACTACACATTGTAATAGCAAAAATGCAGTGGTAGCCATTTAGGGAGAAGATCCATTTCTATATGAATGGTTTACAGAGGATCTGTCAGTCTTGCCTCAAGCAAAGTTAAATGCCAGATTTTTTTTTTGTATAAGGAAAAGCATGGAAGTTTTAATTTTTGGAATTTTCTTTTTGTTAAGGCAATGGCACTATCGACTTCCCTGAATTTTTAACCATGATGGCCAGAAAAATGAAGGACACAGACAGCGAGGAAGAAATCCGTGAGGCATTCCGAGTCTTTGACAAGGTATTAATAAAAGTACAAATATTCTTTAGAAGCAGTAATGGTGTCCATCTTTTCCTCAGTGTGTTTGTTCTTGTCTAGAAGGGGAAAAAACTACTCTAGTAGAAGTAGAGGAACTGGATGGAAACAGCAAGGACTGTTCTGGAAACAGAACCAGATTTGTTGCAGGCTGGTTCTACTTGCTTTACACAGCAGGTCAAAGCTTTAGGCTCATCCATGAGGAAAACTTTCTGGCCTTTCTTCAGGAGCAGAAATGACCAGAACTTGATGCTTGTTGTGCTATGGAGGGGTTTTTGGGGGTGGAGGGGTGGGATTTTTCTGTACCTTCTGACTGTGGGGGAATGGGGAATTGTTTGCATGGAAGCACAAGGTTTTATACTTCATAGAAGCTTTTGAAGCTAAGATGATGTCAGTATTTAGAGGGACATGTTCTGTTTCCCAGATGTGAACTGTGAGGTTGCTTTCAGGGAAACTTAAGAGCTCAACTCCTTCTATCTTTAAGGATACCTGGGCATACATGATGAAGGTCAGTTATTTCCAGAACAGGGGTTCCCCTCTTTGGATTGTTTGGATATGACAGATGTTGCAAGAGAATTGTGTTGAGTAATGGATGGTGCAGCTGCTAAGCTGATGCACACATGTGTGGAAGAAAGCCTTATTACTTCTCCTTTTTATGGAAAAAAAGCAGCAGTCTCCAGTACTTTGCTGAAAATGTGCTAGTGGGAATGCTTGATTGGTTAGCACTTCATCTACCCTGTAGGGTTATTTCTGCAGACTAGATTTGTGTTTAAAGCTGTTGAGGTAGCTTATCTCCTGGTGATGGCCGTATGAACTCCTGCTCTAAGCTAGTATATTCTTCCTGTATATGGAAGAGGACAGTTTCTGAAATGGCTAGGGATGAGCTCTAGGTTTGAGTAGTGTTCATGGGAACACTGACTTAGAAGTTCTCTTTTTTCTTTTTTTTCTGCCACAAAGCTTTTCACAACTTCTTATGAGTAGAATTTAAATACCTTCTTAGAAGGTTTGTTCTGTTTTCTTTTATCTAAGAAACCTAACCTAGCACCTGCAGTCTGGTTAGGGGTAGTATTACACAGAAGAGAAAGCTGGCTTTATTTTTGCTGATGGGAAAATTGGTTGGTTGGGGTTTTTTTGGCCTTGCTTAGGCAGCAGAGACTAAACAATTTTGTTTCTGGGTTTATTTTTGAAAGCTCTTTAAAAGCATTAAAAATACCTTATCACAGCTACAAATCAAGCATACAGGTATTCTTACAGTACGGTAATTGTATAGAATGATACAGTGGTGTGTGGCTTTGTAAGGCAATGGAACTGGTACATACTGTAGGGTTATACAGTGTATCAGGTCTGTGTATCTGTCAAGTGCTGTAAGGCTGGTTCAGAAGCAGTTACTGGAAACCTAGATGTAGTTTCAGAGTTCATCCATGTCAGGATTGTTGATCATGATCTTGTGCAACTCTTTCCTCACAGGATGGCAATGGCTATATCAGTGCAGCAGAACTACGTCATGTTATGACAAACTTAGGAGAAAAGCTAACAGATGAAGAAGTAGATGAAATGATCAGAGAAGCAGACATTGATGGGGATGGGCAAGTCAACTATGAAGGTAAGAAGCTGCTTGTCTTGACTGAAAACCATTACTCTGAGTGAAAGCCTGTTGCATAGGGCATTAATTTCTGGTACCTTGAGACACCAGTTTATTCGATTGTCCACTTCTGTGAACAAAAACTTCAATGCAGTGAAAAGAGCTTTTTTTATGCGAAGTGTGTTTGAGAGACGTACCAGTCGAAGTATGCTGGAAGCAATAAATCACAGTGACATTTTATCTTTTCAGAATTCGTACAGATGATGACTGCAAAGTGAAGAGACCTCCTTTACACCTTTTTTCCTCTAGAAGAATCAAATTGAATCTTTTACTTACCTCTTGCAAAAAAAAATGTTCATTTATTCATTCTGTTTCTGTATAGCAAAACTGAATGTCAAAATACCTTCTGTCCACAAACTGCATGTAATGGTTGGTGGTCCTGTCCCCAAAAGATAAAGTTAAACATCAGTTTTACAATATAAATAATTGTACTACCTTGAAAATAAAAAAAAAGGAAGCACTTAGTGAACTCAAAAGTTCCATTTGCTAATGACTATTACACTGTTTGGGCTGGCCAGTTTTTCATGCATGCAGCTTGACAATTGAGCACAGTCAGACATTTGTATTAAAAGGAAAAAAAAACCAACCTAAAGGATCCACTCTTTTGTTCAACAGTGGATTCTAGTTCAATTTGTAGTAGAAATTGTCATAGCTGGTTTACTTTAAAATTGGTTTATACCTCAGGATGGTATGCAGCAAAATGGTTGAAGGATGCAGAACTTAGCGAAAATGCCCTAAAGGTTGAATGGTTCTCCTGTACGTAGCAGTGTGCTCCAAAAATACGATGATCTTAACTATGGATGGCATGTCTGTGTTAAAATACTGGTTTAACATTGTCTGCATTGCACTATAGTGAAACGGGTGTCGGGCTGTTACCGTTCACAAAATTTTTAAAAGAAACCTTCACCAAGGGAGCATCTTTGGACTCTCATATTTTTAAAACCTTCTGTACCATGACTTGGAGCTGGCGGAGTAGCCTGTGGACTTCAGCACAACTATCAACATCGCTGTTCAAGATATTACAATTTATGTCCATTCCAAGTTGTAAATGCTAGTCTTTTTTTCCAATAAAAGACCATTAACTTAAAGGTGGTGTTAAATGCTTTGTAAAGCTAAAATATATATATATAATTGAGATAAACCAAAAAAGCAGTAGGAGGGAAGTGTTTCTATGAATGACTTGCTGCTAAATTATAATGCACATGTATGCAATAAGTTATCCCCTATCTTTTCAAGATGGCAAGAACTGACCTCCTGTAACCCAAGACCTTTGCTATAAATAAATGAACTTGTGCTTGCCTTTCATATTACGACAATGTTAATTTAGTTGGTCTCAAAGTCGTGTAATGCTGACTCGTCAACTATCAGCACAGAAGTAACACCTCATTTCACTAAAGTGGAGAGCTCTAAGCATGCATGTCAATACTGGGGAAACATGTATAGGTTGCTTATGTTATTTTTGACAGGTTATAGAAACTAGTTGGAGAATTTAGACAGCATGGACTTCATAGATATCTATGATTCTCAAACATGCCAAAAAAAGGTTTTCTCTACCCACAGAAAGAAAACAAAAGGATATATCTTTTACAATATGTAAAAAAAAAAAAAAAAACCCACACCAAAATCAAACCAACCCCTAAGCCTTTTTGGAAACTGGGGCTATTATGTCTTGACTATCTTCTCAAACACTTGCATGAATTTTGTGGGGTGGAGAAGAGAATTAGGGTTGATTTAAAAACCATCTTGTTACTTCTGCTTTGCATGCATTAGCAGTGCTTAGTCATTCCAGGTCTCTGAGTAAGTGTTCTCTGATCTTCAGCCTCCCCATGAATGAGTGGTAAAGCAGCTGTGTCCACTCTTCTTTGTTTGAAAGAAGAATGCTTTTTTTTTTTTTGAATGGTGGATCCTCCTTTTGGAAGATTTATGCTTGGGAGGGAGGGACTACAGCTTAATTACCTGAGTGTAAGTTTGTTTCCAAATGTGACTGGAGTTGCAAACTTTAATTGCTTAATTGCCTTTGGTTTTGGAGAGTATTAATACAATCCCTTGAAGGAGATGAGTCTCCATTCATCCTGTCTAACTGAGGTGCCTGTGTTAAGAACTTTGTTGCATGAAATGCAGCTTTGCTCAGTGGGGGTCAAGAGACACCTCCAGAAGGCAATTGAGACTATCTGCCTTCAGTGATATTTTTTTTTTTCCTTGGGGGGTGGGGGAGTTCTGGGTGACTAGGGACCCAGACACCTTAACCAAGTGCCTAAAAGTTAGATGGGCTGAATGTAGGCAATTGTTTAGATCTAGTTGCAAAGACTTTTTGCTATGGCTGTGTATGCTGTCCTAGCAAACTGGCCATGATGATGGGAATGTCTGACTGCCCTTTGAAAGTAGAGTCTTGCATGGCAGCTGCGAACTCTACTTTGGTAGTGCTTGAGAATGACTGCACTGATTCTGTAGACCAGCTTTTAAAGAGAACGTACTCAAGAGACAGGCAAGGTAGGAGCAATAGTTGCTGCTCTGAACTAATTACTTCTGCCTGAGTGTGCAGAGAGATCTTGTCTAGTAGGTAAATGCTTCTTACCATCTATCTGTTGTTCACTCACGGTTGGTAGGGTAGTTCATTTAAGAACAGCTGCTTTTAGCTTATTCAGTGTGCTCTGTGCTTGCTAGCAAAGAGACCTCATTCCTGCAAGAGGTTCTTGGCTTGATTAGAAATTGTCTGGCAGTGTGCAGTGTTGGTATGCCCTGTAACTGAATCTGCCTGGAGGTATCTAATTATTAACTGACTTCAGTACCACATCAACCTCGAGTAAATGTATCCTCTGTACAGGACTTTAGCTCTGTTCCCTTCTGCATAGTGAATATCTAGAGAAATGAAATGGTGTCATCAAGGACTTTTTTTAAATTTTTTTTTTTCTGTGAGTGCGTGCGTGTGTGGCTTTGGCTTTTTCCAAATGTGAAAGTGTGGGCTGGATACACTTGGTGCATGGCTTAGAAACATGGGACTGGAAAGAACTTCCTGGGTCATCAGATCCAGTCCCCTGCTATTGCAGGCAACCGTGTCATATAATCCTTTTAATAAACTGATCAAGCTTAACCACCTGCTTGTAAGTGGCTTGTTTTCATGGAAGTTCTGTAACTCATGTTGCTCTCAACTGATGCAAGTAATATATGAAATATGAAGTTAATCAAAAGGTCCTCCAGCTTAGCTTTAGGTTTATCATTACACTTATTTAACTGACTTTCTCGAACCTGTTATTCTTTGCACAACACTCAGGAAAGTGTTGAATCTTTACACCCCCTTGCTACGAATAAGAGTTGGTGTGCTTGCTTATTTTTTTTAATGGAAAAGATGGATGTCTGGCTTGTTGAAATTTGTTAGATATGTTAATTGTCAAGGCAAGAAACAATTGAGTTACTTGTATTTGATACATAAATTTAAGGCTAGAGTATACATAACCATTTTTAAAATACATCAACTTGCAGTGTAGTTTTATATTTAATACTGAAATTGTACTGCTAAAGTTTAAACTGCTGTTAATCATATTCCTCTTCTGATCATAATGAAAAAATAAAGGGTAAGAAAATGCTTAACATAGATTATTCATTATCATGCTTATTTTATTAATAATTCAGGCACTGAAATGTCTCCAGGTATGGGACATTTGTTTTGTTGGGTGGGGTGGGGCAAAGGGGGGGGCGGGTGTTACTGACTAAAGACCCTTATCCCCCAGCTGTTTTTTCACAGTTGTGCAGTTTCAGAAACACAGATACTATCAAAAACTGATCAAGAAATTACCTTAGCCCTTATTAATGCATTAAATGCACATGTGGGTGTGGGTCTCATCTGTGGGCAGTGTTCAGTGCTGCAGCTGCAAGCTCCTGTGCCCTGCCCAGGTGAGTGGGGAGGGGGATGAGGCTGTATCTTGGTCCCTATATTGCAGTACGCGTGTGATGTGAATGCAGATCCTTGTTCCTAGGTAACACCATCCTAAACTAAAAGCATGATCTTGTGGTTTACAAATAACAGTGTTAATACAGCTTGCTTTTCCCCTGCCATGAAACTAATTGGAACACTTGTCTTACTGCAGTCCACTTCGGGTTTGGTTGGGGTTTTTTGGTTTGTTTTTAAAATTTAATGATGAAGTGAGATCTGACATAAAGGACTGTGGCAGGACCATGGCATGTCTTCTGACCACAGACATCCAGCTGTCGAGTGAAGACAGACGATGAAGGCTCATGCCGTGTTTCTCCTGACTGGCATATAGGAAAACAAATGGTATACTTGCAAACAGAGCGGGTGGACCTTTAAAATCAGTAAGACAAGCACATAGAAAGTTGTGTGGGATTTTTACATCATTGCAATTCCAAAATACTAAAAGTGGGGTTTTTTAAATCTAAATGCGAGATTCTGAAGAAATTAATTAGATGATGAATTGTGTATGGATCTGGAGTTCCAAAGATTCTTGATGTTCTTTGCTATAGAAAATTTGTATGAAGGCCCAAGTCCTTGAAGGACTTTATATTTTCTAAGAACCGCTATCAGTGAGTGTCCTAGGGAAGCATTCAAAAGATATTTGTAATAGTTGATGGTTTGTTCGAAGTTTGATACTAATAAAACTGAAGTTTTGAACTGAAGTGGCCAAATATCCAAATAAATGGCAGAGCTGCTGATTAAGTAGATACTAAGAGAATCTCTTAAAGTCCCATGAAAGATTAAGCACAGCTGATACCTAGCAATAAATGAGTGCTTGTGTTGCGCTCTGCCCTACCGGTGACGATAACCAGCAGCAGAGTAGAGCAGACCAACCTCTTGTGCTCTCTTCCCTGTAGCGCTGACAAGGACCTTGTTCTTGCCTCTCTGTGCAGTGCTTTGCTTTGCAGAGGCAGGAGCGCACTTCAGGGCGCAGCACAGCCCTTTCAGCCACCTCCAGGAGAAAAAAAAAATGGATAAAAGAAGTGTATTGCATCAGAGGGTTACATTTCTCCCAGATCCCTGTGGAGCCTGAGATGCTGAGTGACACCAGCACTGTATAGCAATGTTAGAAAAACAAAGTTGAGAAGCAGGTCTCCCAGCATTGCCACAAGGTACCCTAATAATAAGGTTGCAAGTTGCCCTTTCCGACATCCCTCTAGGTGTTGGACAAAGCTGACTCTAGCTGGCAATGAGTAGCACAGCCTTGTATGTGGTGACTGCTTGTTCTGATCTTTCATAGAAGTTTCATTGATTGGGGAATCTTGTACAGATCTCTGAAGAGCCACTTTAATTTCCATTGCCTCAGAAGTCAGCATCTGCAGAAATACTGAAAGAATTATTCATAGTACAGCCTTTCCTGGCAAAAATGCCTCCTACGATAATTAGTGGTTGAAGTACAATATGAAAACTGGGCTAATCACCTAAAAAATGAACCAAAATGTTTTCTGAATATTTCTTTTTATTTCTAGATCTCTAAATATGATGTATTTGAAAAACAGATTTTTGAACAAAAGTCCTACTTGCCCTACCAGTTGCAGTATTTAAAATGGACACAATATTTGAACAGGAACCAACTGGATCAACTGAGAAATCCATAAAAAGGCATTAAATAGCATTCCCCATTTTACTGGTTTGTAGTGGGGCTGGCGATGACAATGCTGACAGTGCAGTAAGTGTTCTGAAAAAGGATATGGTGAAAGAAACGGATAGGGTGAGAGCAAAAAGAATACCTGAGCGTGGAACTGCTTTGTAGTCTTGTCTGATGGCGTATTTGTTGCCCATAAAGCTATAAATATTTGATTGTGAGCTCTCTGGCCATTACGTTTTTCTAGCAGCGGTGCTGTCACTCAGTTTGTCTGCTTTTCCTAACCTGGCCCCAAAGCCCCCCCATGCTAGCTCTACTTACACCTGAAAATATACAACCTGGAGAAGTTAGTTGTAAGTCTGCTGTGGTTCAGAACTTTCCAAACATGCTCTGCTTATTCTGAGCTTTCTGTACTAGTATATCAAAAAGAGTAATTTCCACCAGACATTCTGGTAGGAGGCAAAATATAACCTCAATTTCAGATAGGTTTTTACTGAATCTCTTTTGTTAAATAAAATACTTTAACCCAGAGTATTTAGCTCCCTAGGAACCTGTGTGCAACATCATCAAAAGTAGTTTCTCAAGGATTTTGGCATAAAAAATTGTGGATATTTTCTAGTAACTTATTTGTTTCTTTAGATACTAATAAAGTAAAAATTCCTACACACATACACCAGATGCCCTGACAATTAATCAGTATGCATGATGCTGTCCACCCTATAGCTGAATTTAAGACAAGTAGATTCAATC